GAATAGGAGTAAAAATTGATAATGTATCAGAAAGATTTAGTCTGGCTAACCTCAAAACCCGTACTCTCAGGGCTAGCCCGCTTTGTGCCAACTATGAAAAAAGGAGAGTCACCTAAGTAAATGCAAATCAAAAGGTGACACACATATTCCAGGTCACTTTATTTTCCTAGAAGCCCCTATCCAGAGTTGCCTTAGGGACATCAGATCTTAAATTGTGCCATGCCAGTCAGAAAGCTTAAGAATACTGGCCCGGTATGGTGGCTCACGCCTGTAATCCCAGTACTTCAGGGGGCCCAGGTGGGTGGATCACAAGAGGTCAGGAGTTCAAAACCTGCCCGGCCAAGGTGATGAAACCCCATCTCTACTAAACTAAAAAATTAGCCGGGCGTGGTGGCACACACTGTAATCCCAGCTACTCAGGAGGCAGGCGGAGGTTGCGGTGAGCTGAGTGCCAGCCTGGAAGACAGAATGAGACTCCATCTCAAAAAAAAAAAAAAACCTATAAAGGTATCATCATGATACATTAGTATACAAAGAAACAACCTAATAAAACTTTTCGTGTCCTGGTGAAAATTACAAGGCAACTTGTATCCAAAATATATCTTTAAAATGTTCCTCTTAAAAAAGCAAGAAGTTCTTTAAAAGTACATATTCTCCACCTACTCTTTTTTAAAACTGTTATCTTTTGAATGCTTCCTTAACCATTATAAGTAATATAATAACCACTTCACTTACCCTTGGAAATTTTGAGAACATTTGCTTAAAAGGAAATACTTCATTTTCTCAAAGATACCGTATTTTACCTATCTAAATCTAGACATAAATAAAGATTATGGTAGAGTCAATATATAATGCCTCTTTTAAACAGAGTTTAATAGTTAACCGATTATTTGAAGATAATGGTTTTTAAAACCCCAAACTTTTACCTTTGAGACCAAGTTGGTTTTTTCTATTATTAAAATATTATTGCATTTATGGGATTTTCTTGACTGAAACATTACACAGCCTGGCTCTTTAAGTATTAGTCACTTGCAAACATCATTTGCCTTTATTTTCCCTCCTTTAAAGTTTCATTCTAGATGATCCAGACCCATCGTATTTAATTTTTGTGATGTTATAAAAAATGAATTGCAAAGATTTCCAGTCACTTAAAAAATATGTCTCAAATTCACGGAATTTATTTTAAAATGCAGTATGAGAAACACTGGAGGTACAAGGATTCAACTTGCTGCCCAGGTTAATCATCTTCGAGTCCTGGTTTTACTTCTACAATGTACCTTTTAATTTAGTATGACACAGGCTTTTTTGATGACTAAAAACTAGATGTTCCTATGTATGTGCTGGTTTTCAATTCAGGTGCTGCAAGACTCACCTATACAGCTACCAATTAAAAAGAAAAATAAAGCCCTGTGTTAGGGAGAGATGAACTCCCAAAGGAGGATATACCACATATCCCTTTATCATGGGAACTACTGTTGACTTGAATAGGCTCGTCTTACACACAGGAGTGGTCTGACACTTCATGAGTTTTCCTCTCCTCTAGAGTAAGTTCTTCATGTAAACTCAACATAAATGAAGCCAGGGCACTTCCTTACACAAAATCCAGAGTAGCAAAAAATTTCTAATGATCATACAAATTTCAGTTTTGATGAGTTACTGGTATCATGAAACAGCCATTCCAGATTTCCAGCTATTCTAATTCTTCCACTAGTGATGCAAGACATAGAAACATTAAGTATGACTTTCTACATCCCACACAGGAAGCAGCGCTGGTACCAAGAAACTTCGGTACAAAAACCTCTAGCAAGAGATCAAATTCTAATCCATGAGTTTTCCAGCCAAATATCTTTATTTCAATGCACATATCGTACCGCAGAAAATTTCTCAAGTATTTTTTACTCTTTTTTAAAATTAACTTAATAAAATTAAAGAATTTAAGATGTTAAGGAATCAAGAAAATCAGGAATCTATCATAGCATACCTCTTTTAAAGTAAAATTTTTTTCTAGGTCTTCAAAAATGAAAAATGAAACTTCAAAGTGAAAATGTCATACTTATGTAAACTTACTAAGTATACTTATTAAGTACAGTGCTTAATAAGTATACTTAATATGTATACATATGTCATACTTATGTATGCTTACTAAGTATTATACTTAATAAGTATTCTATCATTTTAATGTCATACATACATTAAGTATAACACTTAGTAAGCATACATAAGTATGACATTTAAATGATAGAATCCAGATTATTAAATTTCAGTAAGATACAGACATTTTTACTTTGTATTTTTTGTTTTGTTTTGTTGGCTTTTTTTTACTATTCAAATGCAATATACAATAAAAATGTTTTAAAGGAAACTTTAAAAAGGACCTAGTGTACCCACTCTTGTTCCTTAAGAGTCATATGGCGACCAAGAAGCCTGGCTCTGGAATCAAATGTAGCCTCTGCCATTTACTTGTTGGATAGATGATTTAGGCAGGTTATTAAAACGTAATCTCACGGAGCCTCAGCTTCTTCATAAGTAAAATGGCACAACAACTATGCAGAGATAGGATTATAAAGATTATATAAGGCAATACATGACCTAACCATATCTAATAGATAATCTGGGTAAGTGAATCTCACCGAAGTTTCCATTACCAGGCCAAACCTCATACCTTCTGCATATGTGAAGTTGTTTTGTTTTGTTTTGTTTTGTTTTTTCCAGCTCACTGTCTTGCGATGATTAATACTTAGTAGTCCAATGACCTACCCTAGGCAAGTCTAAATGGTTACATCAGAAGCATCAGACTGAAGTGACTATATTTAACCCAGTATTCTGAGAAAGAGGAACCAGAAACTACTGTTGGAACATTACACAGTTATGTGCCCTATAAACATAAGCACCTTCAAAAGGAAAAATCACATTCAGGGTGTGGTTGATAACTTGACTATTATTTATGCACCACTTGTGAATACTGAAAGGCTTAAAGTGAGCATTAGACACAAAAGAAGTTAACCCCAAGCAGAAAGTTGCCTTTTCCACGAATCTTAAAGTAGGAAGTTATTTTTCAGACCCAAGTTTTTAAATTTTACTTTTAAAAGTTTTTTAGTAAACAATATAAGTAAAAATAAAAACTTCGTTTAACACACTTCTAGAAATCTTGGAAATTATTAATTTGGGGCCTTAGGCACATAGAAACTATATTCATTCTTGCTTTGACCCCCATAGCATTTAAACAATCTATTGAGTGGTAATTTGTTTTTGAAGGAGCATGCTACATGTTTTAAACTCTTTTATAAAAGAGTCCCATGCACTAAAGAAACATGCATTATGGATAACTTTTTGAAAGAAATTCTAGGTCAGCACTGTCCAATAAAATTGCCAATGATGAAAATGTTGTATCTCCGTGCTGCCCAATATGGCAGCCACTAGCTACAGGTGACCACCAAGCGCTCAAAAGGTGTTTAGTGTACCTGGGGAACTAAATGTTTTATTTTATTTAATTTATAATTTAAGTTTAAACAACCACACATGGCTACTGGCTGCCATACTGACCAGCACAAGTCTAGATTTTCTGGTCATTTACCTCAAACATACACACACAGGCCCACTAACTTAAAAACCAATCACCCGAAATCTAGAAGAATCCCTCAAGTCAAAAGAAGGTCTTAATAAGAGAGGACCTGTTTTCTAGTCTCAAGAAACAAAGTCATTGGTTTCATTTCATTATCGCATCTCAATATAAACATCAAGTGGACAATACTGAGGGGGAAAGGGAGCTTGGTGCAGATACCAACAGAAGTTCCTACCATCATCATACCTGAAGTAAGGGCTGATTGCAGCAAGAACGTTTCTATGACAGGAAAATGTTTTCCCGTGATCCACTTCCACTACAATGTCTGTCAACTGTCCTTCATCGTACATTGTTTTGAGTTGCTTAAGAATACTGCAAGCATGGAAGGGGTCCATGGCATCGCTGGCTGGGTCTGAAGATGGAATCCCATTCGGTGTTGGGGAAGACTTACTTAAATCTAGGAGGAGAAAAATCGTACAACCACAAGAAGTGCCGAGCCAGTTACGGCGTCGCGGGATTTTTTTTGTTTGTGTGTCTGCTTGCTAGGCTTTTTCCCCCTACAAATATATACAAATGTCTGTGGATATATGCACGACCTCGTGGGACCGCGAGTTTAGGATCTGGGAGACAGAGGGCGGAGCGCGATCGGCGGAACAAGTTCAAAGGCCAGCCTGCTCCTGCGGAGCCCGGCGAGCCCGGCACCCGTGCTCGCGGAGGGAACGCGCTCGCAGCCCAGGCGAGGCGTCTGCGCGGACTCCGCCGAGAGCCGAGGGCAGAGCCTCACGAGGGAAGCTCGACCAACGGCGGCCGACGGTGCCCCCTCAAGCCGCCTCCCGCTGCCTCCTGGGGCGCAGCGCCGGCGGGTACCCAGCCTCCCCATCCCAGTCCCGCCGGACCGCCCACCGCCCTCCGCACCATTCATCCTCCCTCCCCTCATTCCCCTCCACCGCCTCATCCTTCCCTCTAGCTCCGCACCGCTAAGTCCTCATCCCACTGCCTGTGGCCGGCCCCGGCCCACCTTCCCCCTCACCTCCCTCCACGCCGCCCTGGCCACCACACGACCCACCTGCCGACGCGGCCATTTCTCGATGGGGCCCCGGCTCCAGCTATTTAAAAAGGAAATGTCATTTCGCTTCTCTAGCTCCCGGGTTCCGGCTCTTCTAAGCTTCCCCTGGCCAATGGGATGTCCTGTGCATCTGGCTCCGCCCCTAGCCGCCAAATTCCTGGCGCTGATTGGCCGAGACGCGAGCATATGCGTGTCGGGAAATGTAGTTTGGTTGCCCCGGCTCCCGCGTGGTCCGGGTCGGGCGGAGGCCCAAGCCGGGAATTTCTATTGGCTGATTCGGGCGGAGGTGGAGAGCAGGGAGCTGGCCAGCCTGTGGCCGTCGAGCGCGCAGTGCCTGCCGGGAGAGGTAGTCTTCTGGCGGAGGAGAACTGTCATTCTGAGGGGCTGGGGTAGGGAAAGCTCTTCAAGTGCGAATTTCCCCATTTTAGGCCTCTCTCCTGGCCCCCGGCACATTTTTTTACCTTTTTCTTCTTCTGTAAACTTCCTGCCAGTGACTATCTTCCGGTATGAAATCAAGCTCTGCGTGAGAGCTGTAAAACCAGAAAAATTTGGAAATGGACAGGAGGGCTGTTGTCCAAAAATGCAAAGGAAATCTGACGTCCCACCCTGAAGAAAAATATCAGAAGGCCCAAAAGCAAGGCGTCTCTAATGAGTCACCTATGACACCCAATTGAAATAGCATCGCCTTGGCCGGGTGCTCTGGTTTCCACAGATTAACTTGGTCTGGTTACAGCGGCTGCTTAGGATCTCTAACTCCCACTGGTGCCTTGGTTTTCTAGCACATCCAGAGAACACCTGTTCCGCACGTAAACATTATGGAGGGATCCAAGATGCTTTACTTTTTGCTCTTGGGAAATGGAGGGGATACAATACTAAGTATTTCGGGATTTCCTTTGAAAAAATACCGGAGTGCCCTGAGCCCGGAGCCAGGGATGATTACTGAAGCCCTGGCTCTTTAGTTACTATATGTGAGAACTGACATAAGACCTTTCAACTCCTGAGCACTTAGATCCTTCACCTGTAACGTGAAGTAATAGTAATCCGTATTCCATCGACTTCATAGGCTGCAACCCTTTGGAAAGAAAATCAAAATTTTACTGTTGACGAATTTTTATTTACTCATCTTGTGTTTCTAACATCTAACGGGGTGCCTGGCACATTATAGATGTTTAATATTTTAAAAATAAATGTAAGATGCAAATGAGCTACCATTGGGAATGCTATTTCTAGAATGTTAAAATGTAAGGAAGTATTAGCGAATGGGAAGAATTTCAGTAGACGTATAGTTAGCCCGTGTGCATAACTTTTCTAGCAATGAAAAGATCAAACAGTTGAACTTCTTGATAAAGAAAGGATCTTGGAATTTAAATTGTGATTGAGAAAAAGAAAGAATTATGAAAAACAATTCAGTTCCGTCCCTTAGGTCTGCTGAGAAATTTAGAACTCAAAATACTGTAATCCCATGCAAGTTAACAGGAAGTGGTGGTGTTTCCTCATGACTAGGGTTTATGCATATCCATACGGACTTATAATTTCCTCTTTGTGAATTTCCTGTGTGCACATTTCTGGATGGATGAAATTGACTTAATTTTTGTTACTCATAACTTTACTTTTTCATTTTTATGGTGTTGCTTTCTAATTTATTAAAATGGTAACATTTTATGACAATATGGATAGTATCGAGGAAAAAACTGGCATTAATCCTTAGGGTTTGACAACATCTGACGATATTGCAAATAAAAATACAGGGCATGCGTTATTTGAGACATATTTAAACTAAAATATCATTTGTTGTTTATCTGAAATTCAAATTTAATTGGGTGTTCTGTATTTTATCTGGCAACCTTTTCAAATCTCTTAAAATTGAGGAGTTTTGTTTGTGCTTCGTTGTTGTTTTGTAGCCATCTATCTACTTAAGCCTTAAGAAACTTGGCCAATTAAGAAAAAATTCAGTTCTCAACTTAGTAACAAACAGACTTGACAATATTGTTTGATTAGTTAAAAGACAGTGTTCTGATTCTTTGACCCACAAAGATTTATAAATTGGAGATGGAGCAGAATACAAAGCACAAAAGCCAATCTAAAAATAAATAGGAAAAAATTATAGGTACAAAGTTGCCATTTATATGACACTGTAAATGGACTCCATTCTACTGGGCAGATGGCATTACATATTAGAAAAACACAGAATAAGTAGCAGGATCTGGAAAAATTGAGTCAGTTGTACCACAACTATTCTTTCTCAATGATCCATAAGAATATTGGGGAGATTCCTTTTCAGGATTGATACTAAATAGCCAAAGATTACAGCTTTCCTTTCAAACAGCTCTAATTTGAATTTTAGTAAGAACCTCCTGAATCTACTGCACATCTGGAAAGAGCAGCAAAAGTAAACCAGTTTTCATCTTAAGGTATTAAGTACTATATTGCAATTTTCTCCTATATTTAAAGTTTAAAGTAAAATCAATTAAGGATGGAAATTGAAAAACTGAACTAGAATATTTGAAGGTCTTATATTTAGTTCAAATTAGACACTTAGAGCTTTATTATTTTAATATTTTTTTTTACCTAGGAATCACAAGCAAAGAGAATCACTATAATCATGGTTGCTTGAAAGAAGAAAAGTCTTTACATTTAAATTCTAGCAAAGATGAAGGATTATTAAAGCATCACATTTGGAAAATGAGAAATTGAAGGCTCCTTGTTTTTTTCTGCTTTCATTTCAAGAGAATGACTTTTAGCAATTATCAGCTATACCCAGGCTACTCTCAATAATACCACACAACATGAGAATGATAGCAACTCTGATGAAGAAGGTGTAAAAGAAAATAGAACTTCACTTCTGCAAATCGATTCTGCAGTTTTCCAATTTCCCTGTTCAGTACTGGTTGGGGCTGTGAAATTGACCAGGGCTATATAAAATGAAAGTAAAGAGAGAATACTTGAAACTCGTACCTTTTAGCAAATGACAATCTTATATATTTATCCTTCTCAGCCTACAGCTACAACCTTCTTGATATTTTCAACGTGACTTTTTTTCTTGCTAAAAATTTCTACATTGGCTAGATAAATGAAACAACAAAAGTGATTATTCAATATAAATTTAATATGACATCAGATACACAAAGTATTTTCAAATTTCTAAAACCTTATATATTGCCCATGATTTAGTCTCTTTAAATACAAAACTCTAAATAGATACTAATATCAGGTTTACTGATTGGGCAGCGCTGGGCTTTGTTGTATTTTTAATTTTTTATTCCCTTTGAGGTAATGTGAGGATTCAACATGGTAATAACTAGAAGATTGCATTTCATGAATCACTGAATTTGATCGTACTGGAGGATATTAACGTGCCTTAATTTTTTTTTTTTTTTTTTTTGAGACGGAGTCTCGCTCTGTCACCCAGGCTGGAGTGCAGTGGCCGGATCTCAGCTCACTGCAAGCTCCGCCTCCCGGGTTCACGCCATTCTCCTGCCTCAGCCTCCCGAGTAGCTGGGACTATAGGCGCCCGCCACCTCGCCCGGCTAGTTTTTTGTATTTTTTAGTAGAGACGGGGTTTCACCGTGTTAGCCAGGATGGTCTCGATCTCCTGACCTCGTGATCCGCCCGTCTCGGCCTCCCAAAGTGCTGGGATTACAGGCGTGAGCCACCGCGCCCGGCCAAACGTGCATTAATTTTTAAGTATTTGGAATTTAATATATACATGAAAAAAAGACTGTGAAACTAGTGGCAGTAATATTCAGTTCCTCAGAAATATTGATTGCCTCCTCCCACTACCTGCATTCTAAGAAGGCACTGTTTGAATCAATGTTTCCTGTAAAAAACTAGATAGATATATAGATAGATAGACAGATAGGTAGGTAGATAGATAGATAGATAGATAGATAGATAGACAGACAGACAGACAGATAGATCGATAAATATTAGATGGATGTAGAGATATGAGATTCCTAATCTCAAGGATCTTATAGTTTATCTGTGAAAATAAAACTTATTCCCATGAAAATCAACTAGAAAAGGAGAACTAAGGGCAACCCCTAGTTAGCATAAAATAAATATTTCAAACAATGTTAGGGATTTCGAAAGAGATAAGGAATTCTGTTTAGCTGGTGTGGGATTTAAGAGCATCTGAAGAGGATACACCATAGAACTATTTGCAAAAGTGATGGAATACTTTCTTGCCTAATTGTTTTATCTTGGCTTGACCCAAAAGGTAAAGCATTCACTTTAATATTGATAGGGCTTAATTTAGGAATAGAACAACGAAAAGGAATTAAAGAGTGTTACCTACTTTGTTGCGCTTAATTTCACCTTTTAATTAAATTTTCTAAGAACATTGTTACAAATGAAGTGACCAAAGCCTGGAGAATTTCAGTAACCTGCCCATAGTCTTTTAGGGGTCTTTGGCTCCAAAACCAACTCTCTTTTGATAACAGCATATAAAGGTCTGGGAATAAAATGGAGTGTTGAAATTGAGGTGTAGGATTTTCTCCCTGTTGAACATATCCAGTTCTGTGTCAGACACAAGGTCAGTCAATATCTGTCATGAATGGACAGAATTATTGGTATAGGTTTGAGATGGTTTCATGCCCCAAGAAATTGAAAAAAAGAAAAAAAAAAGAAAGACTAGAGAGATATAAGTCATACCATTAAACTAATTTGACTTTATCAGATCAAATTTATAATTTTAGAGGTATAGTGATTTAGGACTTTTTATCTGTTCACTAAATAATGAAAAGAAATGGCTAAAATATATATGTGTGTGATTAGCCATTAATATTTATTAAGTTGACACTTCTTCACTGTTCTACTGAAAGATTGAATTATTGTACAAGATTGGAGATCCTGAATAGAATTACTCTACGGTACCCTTAATTTATTCAATAATATTCAAACTTAGAATGATTGCATGAGCCAAAGCCACTGTCAAAATGTGAGACATCAGCACTCTTCTTTGTTTGAAGATTAGCTTATAACCCAAATAGAACTAATGGAATTAAACAATGATTGTTGATTCTTCCTAACCCCAATTATGATTTGATTTTTTGTTTAAGTTCATGGAATCGCTAAAAACTCTAAATGTAAGGAGAATCAGGGGCCAGTAATCTTCAGTGTGTAGATACAGGAACTGAAATTCATGAAGAATAGGTATCAGGTGTTTGGAAAGAAGTTCCTTAAACCCAGCAGAGAGAACATAGAGGATGAGTAGTTGATTATATTTTAATCCCCCAAATAATCAAATATTTATAAGTCAAATCTATTGACATATCACAATAATTTCAGGGATTTTTTTTCTGGTTGTTCTACACATGGTTTTCTTTATCTCAGCACTATTGGCGTTTTCAGCTAGATGATTCTTTGTTGTGGGGGCTGCCCTGGGAATTGTCAGATACTTAGCAGCATTTCTGTCCTCCACCCACTAGGTGCCAGTAGCACCCCCCCTCAGTTATGAAAATGAAAATGGCCCCAGATATTGTCTAATGTCTTCTGGGGAAAAATCATCGCAGTTGAGAACAAGTATTCTACAGCATGCTCCTCCTACCTGTTCTGTGGTCCTCTGTGCTGTATGTTCTCCCACTTTGTTAACAGCACTATTAAAGTTTACATAAGTGTACTTTGTTTATTATTTAAAAGTAGTTTGTTTTCATTTCAATATCCATTTCACAGTGTAGAGTTATACTCCTTGGTTCACAACACAATATTATCTTTGGTCCATATACCCCATCTCTTTTGCTACATATGTGCTATTGCCTTCAATCCCTGTTCTTTACTTCCATCATCTTCCAGCTTCAAATGCAACCATTTTAATGGGTTTGATGTGGATCCTGTGTTTCTGTTCTCGTAAAATATGTATTAATGTATTGAATATGTGTTGATTATGTGCTCTTATGATTTATATAATGGTATCATGCTATGGATCTCAGTTTGTTTCTAACTTTTTCACTTAGTACCATGTATTTCAGGCCTATGCATGCTGCTTTGAGTGCATGTAGTCAATTCTTTATATTCTTTACATTCCTATCAACTAGCTTATTGTTTGATATGTATCACTAAATGCTTACATAATTAATTACATAAATGAATATATTGAATGGGAATGGATGTAGTGAACAGAATAATGGCTGTCCAAAGAAGGGCACTCTAATCTCCAGAACCTGTGACCATGTTATCTCACATGGCAGATGAGACTTTGAAGATGTGATTAAATTAAGGATTTCAAGATTTAGGGGTTTTCCGGGTGGGCTCATTGTGATCACATGGTCCTTATAAGAAGAGATGTGATTATAGAAGCAGAGGTTGAGTGACATGCTTTGAAGATGAAATAAGGGGGCGTGAGACAAGGAATGTAGGCAGCCTCTGAATGCTAGAAAAGGCAAGGGAATGGATTCTGCCCTAGAACTTGCATGAGGAAGGCAGTCCTGCCACCATCGTGGTTTTGGACTTCTGACAACCAGAACTGTAGGATAATTTGGATTGTGTTAAACCACTAAGATTGTGGTAATTTGTTACAGTAGCAAAAGGAAAGTAGTACAATGGATAAACAGTAAACTGTTTTACATAATTCATCCATCGTAGTAGTACTATATTACTGCATGAAGAGTCATTCATTCATCGTGCTATTACCATGGATGAATTACTGCATAAAGAGTTTACTGAGTTTTCCAACCATTGAACTCTAAGTTTCATGGCCTCACTTTTACTTCTCTCTGTTCTCTCCTCCCTGTCTCTCCATCAAATGTTTAATACTAATAAAAATGGAGAGAATCTTAACATTTAAAAGAACTCAAATAAATAATACTTTAACGGGAAAATTGCAAGGTAAACAGTCACCCTAAATCTATATGTAAAGCATATATTTTTATTGCAGCAGGGGCTCCCTGGGTCATCTTGTGAGAAGAGTGAGATTCAACATGGGAGGGAATTGCAAAAGGGCCTGAATACCAGGAAGTATGGTTGCGTGTGAGCAATATTTGGAGATGAGCCACCTTACTGGCTGTAAGACTTAAAGATGGCAGGTTAATATGATAGAGACTTCAAGCCTTAGTCATAATTGTGGCTGAATGCTGTATATATATCTGGAAACAAAATTATAACACTAAGTAGATTAGTTGTGACCCAAGGCCAAAGAAGCATCTTAAGAACAGATGTTTTACATGTTTCTCTCTTGCATACCCAGTTTAATCCCTAAGAAAGAAATATATTCACTTAATTACAGTAGATTTGAGCAACTCGCTTTACCATAATCCGTGGAGAAGAACCAGCCTTTAACTGATCTTGTGCCAATTCAAATATATGGCTGTTTTCTCCAACCTTTCTCAAGACCTCTTTGTTAGAGAACACATAGCTCTAACTTGTGTCTGTGTCTGCACAATACATAGGTATCTGCTTTTCTGGGGTATCACAGTGAGAATCACTCTTTAGGAGGTAGATTCTCATAGTTGTGAAGAGGCACACATTCTGGAGTCAGGCTTCCTAAGTTCAAATCTCACTGAAACACTTTCTAGCTATGTGCAGAGGAAGCTAATAATTTCTTCATGCCTCAAGTTTCTCAGTTTTAAAATTAGGTTATAAGAGCATTAACCTTAGAGAACTATTATAAGGAGTAAAGGAGATAATCTATGCAAATATATGCAGAGTGTTTCGCTCAGCCACTGGTACAGAGAAAGTACTCAGTAAATATTAGTTATTATTACTTGTGGTAGTACTTGAATAGTAAAGTGAAAATTCCATTTGATTTTTCAGGTTATTACAGCAATTAATTTGTTGTTCTTCATGGTAAATTAACCAGTTTACGGATTAATTACAGTTAAGCTGGAGCAGGAACCTGAGATGCAACTGTCTTCCCAGCTCAATATGGTGGCATAGGCTCATCATCACTGGTGATCCCTAACCTTTCTAAAGTGTGGAAGAAAAGGAACCAAACCCCTCATAGGTGCTCTGAATTCAAATGCCTGTGACACTAAAAACATATACTAGCCTACCATAGCTAACACATACTGTTAGTTGTAACAAACAACCCCATACTTTCAGCAGCTTATATCAACAAAATTTTATTTTTCGCTTAT